ATGGATGCTTAGAAGAATGAATAAATGGATAGATATAGGGTAATCAAGTACAATAAAATAATGCTAGAATCTAGGAGAGGATATGTGAGTGTTCACTATACAATTCTTTCAACTTTGCTGTATGTTTGAAAATGCTTAAAATAAAATGTTGCGGGAAAATCACAAATACACACAATAAAATCGTTGGTATCAAGATATAATTCAAAGGGTTTACTAACAAGTTGGATATGAACTATGAGAATAAGTCAAGAATAATTTCTAGTTTGGGGTCATGAAAAGCTCTACGAATAGTGATCCATTTACTGAGTTGGAAATAACTAGGAAGAGAAGAAGATTCTATCCTCAGCTTGAGTTTGATATTTTTCCTTTTTAAAAAATTGAGATATAAATGACATATTATATTAGCTTTAGATATGCAACATAAAGATTTGATATCTGTATACATTGCAAAATGATCACCACAGTATATCCAGTTACCATCCAAGTTTGACATATTCTTATTAGCTATCAAAGAAAAAATGTCAAGTAGCCATCTGGATATGTCAAACACTGTTCCAGGCACTGGAGATACAACAGTATACAGAAGAGCCAAGGTGTATTCTCATGGAAGCTATATTCCCCCACACAAAGATTACAACAATATGAGAATTATCAGCATTAAGATGGATTTAAGACCCCTATGACCAGATAAGAATTCTTAAGGATTAGATGCAAATGGAGGAGAAAACACTAAGAATTAAGGCCTAGGTTATCCCAAAACAGTTTTGAATTAGAAATAGGTATTTGGGATGAGTATACTATACAGTAGATGCTATACTAGATCTCTGTGATGGTATAACATATACTTAAAACATTGAAAGAATTGATGGGAATTCCCCTTAAAAGCCTTTATGTAATCATTCATTTGTGCTTTATTCAATAATTAAAAAAAAAGAAAATCAATATCAGTGTATTGATTTAGATTGATAGGTCTAGACCTGGAAACACTATAAGAAGCCAACAGTATTTTTCTTTAAAACTAAATCTATAAAATGGCACTCTATAAATTTCCATTGTCTGTTTGAACTCAGATCAGTAGACTTCTGTTTGCCTAACTGGTAAAAGATAGGATCAATGCAAAATAAGTTTGCATAAAGTTATATAGTATTATAAAAGAAAAAAAGACCCCAATTGGATATATCCAAAGGTAAAACATTATTAACGTATCTCCTTTAAAGGCAGATTTTCTAAATTGTTCCTCAAGAAACATATTTTCTCTACTCTTCAAATGTTTCTCTAATTCTTTCCACCAGGTCCAGAAAAAAAAAAAAAAGGAGGAGGAGGAAAAGAAGAAATAAAGAAGGAAAGAAAAGGAAGACGAGGAGTAGAAGAGAAGTAGGAGAAATAAGTAAAAGGAAAATCTTGTTTTTCCTAAAACTCAAAAAATCAAATTGCACATCAGACATCAATGTGTCTCGTCAGACAGCTGGAGCTACTGAAGCAGATATCACTAGACACACACATCTCACATAACTAAGTTCCTTTCATTACTATATATGTATCCCAGTAGATGCAATGTGCTTACATATCAATATTTTGATTGTCAAAGATGCTATTTTATATAAGCTACTCAGGGATGAGATGACCAGAATTATTATTATTATTATTTTGTATAATCATGAATTTTTTTTCCTTTAAGATACTTTTTTTTTATGTTCTAAGAAATCCTTTTGGTTTATGGTCCACACGTTGCCTAGAATCAAAGGTTATTCAAACAAAGCCCATTCAAAGTGATATTACTACATAGTTGCAAGAACAAATTTCAGGTTACTTATATGCAATTTAAGTTCTGAAATGGACTACATATGGCTATGATAATGAGCCCATTACTAAAAGAAACACTTTAGCAAAATGTATAAACCTGTATGAGATTATGCATCTACACTATGCACACACATTATCGTTATCTCCCCAAATATCATGTGTGTCATTTTCATTTAAGAACAGTTAAAAACTACAGATAAGATTATTCTCATTTTAAAAACATCTTTTCACAATTATTGCAAAATTACTAAATTGACACAATGCACAGGAAGTGGATGTAATTAAAAAGCATTGTGGTAATTTATGTTTAGTTCCCTGTAAATGACTGTAGAACCATAGTCTCATCTAAAAATAAAGAAAATCTGGAGAACAAAAGCTAAACTCAATACATATTCTCCTATGGAACAGTAAAGAAAAATATGCATGTGGTTCATGAATCTGTATTAAATGAGAAAATCTTTATTTACATCCCAAATAGAAAAGTTTGTCTGTGGTTCTCAACTAACTTAATGTTTATTCTCTATGGATTCCTACAGACATAAGATACTGAAAAATCATAAATAATATTAGCACATATCTCCTAGGAGGAGGCAAAACTCCAACATTTTTCATATACTATAAAAATGCACATATAAATAACCCACCAAGCAAATTTCAATGCAAATCTATGTATCATTTGTCACCGAATAAAATTAATTTCTGTGTCTAGCACAAGGATAGTCAGTATATCTTTGAAATGGTACAAGCTTCTCTAAATTTGAAATTCATGGGGAGAATAAGCACACACTTATAAGAAAGGATAATAAGTAAATAGAAATGATAGAATCCTGGAAGAGAAAGGGCTTAGAGATCCTACAAACCAACCCCCTCATTATATATGGGAACGCTAGGTCTCAGTGTGTTGAAATAGCCTAGAGGGCAGTGTTGTCTACATCCCAAATTTTCTAGGATCCCCATGGAGAAGCTGTCATCATTCTGGAGTGAACCAAAGGCAATCCAATGTCAAATGTATGCTTTATGTACTCATTCAGTAAGTGTCCACAGCTTACTTTGCTTTAGAAGTAGTAGATGCTAAATACAAAAACTAGTTTCACACACACAAAAATTTACCATTACCTTTTCAACTTCTCAACCCTGGGCATTTTTCACTACACTACCATGAATTTTGCTGCATAATTGTGATCCAGACATAAACTTGCCCCTTACCTTATAATAGTAAATCAGAACAAAGGTCCTAGGTGTGTCTCTGGGGCAGGAGGCGTGAGATAGGGAGAGAAGGAAGAAAAGAAGGGAAAGAGGAAAAGAAGGGAGGGAGTCAGGCTGGGAGGGAGGGAGAGAGGGAAGGAGAGAGATAGTGTCTTGCTACTGCTGTTCCTGCAAGCTGGTTAATTGCATTTGTTTCATATATCTCCAAACACCCTGGTACATTAATTACATTCTGTAACACCAAGCTCTTCTGGTTCCCTCTGTCACTTCCACTGAGCAATTTAATTGTATTCCTCTTAGCTACACGCTAATTCAAGAAAAAAAAAAAAGAAAGAAAGAAGAGAAAAAACAACTTGGTGGTAATTCTGTAGTCTAATATACAGTTTATACATGCATTCCTGGTATTGAAATATGTAAATTCATGAATTTACATATGGTTTATGAGGATATATGATCAAAGTCTTCTCATGATAATCAAACACACTTGGGAGAAATATGAAAACCTTTCGGTTAGGGCAATGTAAATGTATTGTAAAGGTAAATGGATTAAAGAAGAAAATGTATGGTGACTGATTAGGTATGACTATAGATATTGTCAGTGTGATCCACAGTGATTAATTCCTACACATCAACTACTTAGAAGGGAAAAAGAAAAAGCAGTGTGCCCACATGAATGCCTTGCCTCCTATCTCTGGGGGCAAAGGTACTCATGCAGCCTGTGATTGAAAACAGCCACTTGACAGTAGGTAAACTCATCTGTACCGCCTCATGTTTATAGAAAGCCTGCCTGTTTGTATCCTCCGATACATTGGGTTCTGTGCAGCAGTAGCTGCAAGGAACCAGGATAGCTCCTACAGGCGGGCAGAAATAGGCAGTGTCCCAAAAATGAATTCATCCACAATGCAAATGCTGGAGGAAAGTTTATGTAGCAACAAGCTACTATGGTAGCTCAAATATTTGGACCAATACACAGATTCTTTACAAGTACAATAGTTATAAACCTAAAGTCCGACAATCACATTTTCAGGAAACAACAACATGCTCTACTCTTCTCATTAGACACATTCTGTCCATTGATTCAAAAATTAAAGTCCCTAGAAGGTTAATACCAAATGTTCTTTCGACTTTCTTCTTATAAACAAAAAAGCATGTTAATGATTACTTCCGCACATCATTCAAAAGAGCTACATGTAAAAAAAAAAAAAAAAAAAAAAGATTTTGCAATCCTCGCACAAGAAACTGACATCCTGTGAAAATATCCCAGGACACCATATCTGAACAAAAGACAGGAGAATCAGAGGCAGGATGCTGTCTGCTTGACAGACTGACTCAATCTAGAGGGAGACACCTACGGCACCTGTTTCAGATCCCCATTGTGTTTGCCACTGGGGACTGAGCTGAGTGTTCTGCGCCCACAGCCAGCCCAGAGCTTATGTTTCCCCCTTCCTGGAGCCTCGCCCAGTCTCACTTTTGACAGTTTTCTCCCTATGATCTAAATTCCTGATTCTGATTTCACACTAGAAAAGCACTCAGCCGCACGCAAGTGATACCCATTGAACCCCGAGATACCCTGTCTCAAATTCCTAACCCACTGACCCTTCGTTGAAGTGTCTATTACTATTTTTCATCACTTGAATTTCTAAGTCAAAGTTCAGATACAAGAACAAACACCAAAAGGGAGTAGGCACAAGAGTATCCGAGAGATTTGCTTTAATACTCCTTTTTCTAACAAGACTGAGAGCCCATTATTTATTTTCCAACTCCTCAATTAATTAAGTAAATTACAACAATAACAACAATAGGTGACTACTAACACGTTCCAATTGCAGCAGTTTAGAAACAAAGACTTAAAACCTCTGCCCCCCAAAAGCCCCTGTGCCTGTTCAAAAGGGACTAACGGACAAAATGTCGTTTTATTTATAGCCCACAACGCACTCAGAAAGAAATGGTTTTTGGGGTGGGGGGAAAGGATAAAAGTATTTTTAACTTACCATCAACTCGAACATATAAAAATCCACAGAGCAGTAGTTGTGTAAACATCAGCCGACTCATTTTGACATATTAAAAAGGATCCAGATTGTTTAAGAAACCAATCCCAGAGAGCAAAAGTACAAAAATAAGTATCAAAAAAAGAGGTAGGTCCAAAGTTTAGACTTTCCTAGATGCTCATTAAAGTCAAGAAGAGCAAATCGCAAGATCAGAAGGGGTCAGTGGAGAGGTCTTGAGTGGGGCACATTTAGATCCATCCAGATTAACAGAGGGCACTCCAAAGGCTGCTGTATTTCCACCCTCTGGCTTCCTAAATTCCCACAAATTCAGCCCAGCCGGAGGGATTATTCAAGTGTGTCTAACCCTCTCTCCTCAGGCTCCATTGCCATCCAAAGCCAAGTTCTTTCTTCAGAAGTCAAGAAGATGAAGGGGGAGGAAAAAGACCTAATTCCTAGAAAGTGTTCCGCAAACTTGCCAGCGCGCTGCCGAAAAACCATTGGCCTGCCTACTGCTGTTCTTTCCCCGGTCTCCTTCTCGGTAGCAGCTCCACGTCCAGAGTTATTTTTATTATTATTATTTTTTTTTTTTTCACTTAACTTCCATAATAAGGATGTGTCAGAGCAACACTTTGCAGGCGGGCCGACTTGGCGGGCCTCTCCTTTGCAGCCTCGTTGCCTCCCTCCACCACTCCCGTTTCCGAAAGAGAGGCAAAGAGAAATCAGGACGACTCGGGTGGAGAATCCGAACTCCTACGTGGTGGGGCTGCAAGGGAGGGAGGGAACGAGGGGCAGGGCTGAGGCAGCGGCCACCCCCGCGGTGCCGCCTCAGAGCGGCTGTGAACCCCGGCGGCGGCGGGCGACTGCCGAGCCGGGCGAGTGGAGCCCCGGAGCCGGAGAGCGGACGCGAAAGGGAGCGCGCGGTCCCGCCGCCTGGCGCGGTCCCGCCGCCCGCCCGGGTTACAGCCGCCCGTCCCTCCGCTCCAGCCGCGGCCGCTGCTCCCGCGGCCCCGCTAGCAGAGCGTCCGCCTCCTCCTGCAGCTGCCGAGGGTGGAAGGACTTAGAGGAGGGAAGGCGAGGAGGCGGGAGGGGTGGGGAGGAATGAAAGCTGCTCGGAGTCTGCCCCGGGGAGGGGGGCGGGGGTGATGAGGGGGTGCGCTGAGCTTTCCACCTCCAGAGTCAGCCGCCCGCACGTGCAGGGGGCGCCAGCCCGCTGGGCAGTCGGGGCGGGGGGAGGCGGAGGGGAGGGGAGCCGAGATTCCTAGGGGGACGGAAATTAACAAAATTGGAGCCCAAGCCACCGGGCAACTCCTTCCCCCTCTCCGTGCCTCCTGATGCCTCCACCCTTCCAGCCTAGGGAGGGGATAGGTGGGCTCTAGTCTCCTGCTCCTCGCGGCGTCCCGTTTAATGGGCAGGTAATTTTCTCGGTGAGTGATTTCATGGAAGCCCTTCCTAATTATTCATCCCTCCGTCTGCCGGAGATGCACGCGCTTTCTGGAAAAAGATCATCCTCCAGGACCCAGGGCGCAGCCTCATTACCCGTTAAAATCACACAAACACTCACTCTTCACCTTTTAGCAAAATGAGAAGCTGAGAGGGAGGGAGAAAAGGAACGGAAACAAAATATAACCACCTTTTGGAGCGGAAAGGTTGTGTGTAGGTGCTTCCTATGTCGTTAAAAAGGCACAAGAAAAAAAAGGGGGGGGGGTTGTACAGAAATCTCTAGCCTCTACCGGCTCGTTTTAGCCGAGATCTATGGCCCCCTGAGGAATCTCGGGGAGGGGGAAGGGGTGGTATCCCCTCTTATGTTACTCAGTTGCCTTATGATCCCTTAAAGATGAGTTTGACGCGGGTCTGTGGGATGCAAGGAGTTCAGCAGTAGATGCTTATGTTGAGGAGAAGGGATCAGAGACTTGGGGGTGAGGGGTGTATCCAAAGCCCTTATCCTACAGAGACTAGCACCTCTGAAAGGAAATTCGGAAAACACAGGATGGAGGAAAGCTGAAACCCACTGAGCTAAAAGAGTAAAAGAGGCTCAAAAAGAGCCGAATTCCAGCCCGAAGATGACAAACCCTGAAAACGAAGGCAAAAACCACCAAGTGAATGCCATCAGGACTGGGGATGATTATGGAAAGGCACGTTAGATCAAAGGGATGCCAGTGTCTGCGGTGCCCCCGGTGTGGCCGGTGTGGCCAGACCCACGTGTGATCACAGGCTCACTGGTAGCTGTTTGATGCTTGTTCCGGTGATTAGAAGGCGGGTTAAGGGAACTCACGCCGTTCCCCGAGCCCTGCTAAATGCTGGATAGTGAGTCTTTAGTTCCCCCTACTGGAAAATATTAGGAAAGAGTCCCTCCGTTTGAGGCGGCTGCAGGAAGAGCCTTTTGTTTGGTGGATACATTTTGGTGTTGCCACTTAATTTGGCTCTCCCTTGGCTATTATGGAGGTGATATTGTGTGTTTCAAAAAAAAATGGTCAGCGACGCTTAAGCAATTAGGAGAGTTCTTATGGCATCTCAGCATGCTCGAAAATTATGGTGATGAAATAGTCTTGCAAAAGAATAAAACCACTTTTCTTGTGAAGCATTAAGAGTAATTTCAGCACACTTTTGATCTACATTATTTAGTTGTAAAATTTAAAAGTGCATTGACGTGCTGAAGTTAAATCACTTGAATCCTCACAGTAATGATTCTGACCGTGTTACTGTTTTACCACTCTGTGAAAGAAAGGCTAAAATACGTGTTCACATGTTTTTTGTTTTTGTTTTGTTTTTGTCTCTTCCCAAAGGGCCAAATCTAAAGTCTGGGAAAATCCCAAAATTCATTGGAGAAACATCTCTCTTATCTATCTGTAATACTGAAAAATAACTGATAATTCTTTAAACATGTATTTTAAACCTTTGGACTAAGATTTAAAGTAAGGGTCTACCTTCTCCCTCCCCCCCAATCTCTATCTCAATCAAATTTCCTTACATGTGTTAAATAAAAATACTCTGACAATAGAATCTCCCTAATAAAAGAAAGCAGAAATTAAAATGATATAGATTTTAAGCCCTTAAACTTCAACATAGATCTCAGAAAGGAAGATATTAGAACATTTCACCTGGAAGACTTTTCTCATGGCTATTAATTTATAGGACAAAAGATAGATTTCATTTTATACTTGACAGACTCACCATCTATAGATGCTTTTCCTTAAGTGATCTATAAAATCACTCAGAGGCAGAAAGGATGTGTGTGGGAAGATGGGGGGGGGCTAGGTTGGAGGAGAATGACCTACCATTTACTATTGCCCTCTAGGGCAGAAAAGTTTTGCCTCATATCTTACAGAAAGTTGTCCTCCCGTAGAGTATGACAAATGAGCTCATGGGGAGAAAAGGCTTATTTAAGGGAAATCCCTCTGGTTATATTTACTTGGCATTTTGGGCCAGACATCATCATTTTGCATTCATAATACTTTATCAACTGAAAGTGGCAAAGAAAGCCAGTCATTTCTGTCTGGTGCCCCTTTTTGCTAGACACTACCTACATTATGTAATAATGTCTAGAACAAAGGAATTTTAGAGTCCATGTTTTCTGCTTTTCTCCAAGATAAGTTCATAAGTGATATCTTAAAAGAATGTTTTGTCAGTGTCTCATTTGATATTAAACGTGATTCAGGAAAACTGATGTTATTTTTTTTTTAAATCTCATACCAAGTGATGGTTTAAGATTATGAACAAAACTCTCACACTGTCAACAACAGTGAGAGTCAGCAGACAGAAATGTAATAGGGACAATGTTAAGTCCACGGGGAACAAAGACATCTCCTTCTGGGAGATTTGATAAGACCCATATTAGAGAAATGTGTATATTTCAATTAAATTTAGCACTTACAGTGAACACTATGTAAAAAATTGATTTCTCACCCTAATTTTTTTCTTAAAGGAAAATCTTTAAAATCTGAACATTCTACCAGAAGTTGGAAATTCAATTTTAGCAGTGATTTAGCTTCAAAAACATTTTGTTAAGGTTTTCAGTAAGACAAAAAGCTAGAAATGGCTTAGAACAATGAAGCCCCACCACCACTAAATCAGACAGTTTAAGATACAAAAAATTAAGTGGCCTGTTGGTTTCAATATCTTTCCAAATCCGAATTGTCTTTTCTTCTCTAAACAAGCAGCTGAATAGAGAAATATACATAGAAATCTAGGCTCCTTTTATGTAAAACTTGGAATGGTATTATTATGTACTCAAAATGTGCCTACCAGATAAATATATATTTTAATACATCTAAAGACAACTGTGTGTAAGAGACTATAATTAACCCTAATTTGGGTAAGGTGATCAAATGGCCTTCTTTGTGATTGTACTTCTAAGTTGCCATTTATGGAGAACCATAAAATACTCATCTGAAGGCAATTTGCACAATATAAGATGGAAAATATTAAATATTTCTTTTCCATATCAGATTTTTCAAAAATGTGGCATAAATGGAAAAACCCCAATCCATTTTTTTTCACTTTAAATATACTCTTGTTATAATTGTAAGATAGTATATACAGACAAATCAAAGGTTTGATCCAGGATGATCATTTTAATATCTGCCACCATGTGGTGAGCACTTACTCTGTGTCGGGGATTTTTCTAGTTTTTTTTCTAGTTTTTAAATTTCATCATAGTGTTTAATTCCTATAAAAGTTTTATTATGTGGGTGATATCATCCAATTGTGCGGATGAGATTACTGAAGATTAGATCTCTTACCCAAGTTAATAAAAGGTGCAATACTCCTTTGAATCCTGATCTGACCACAAAATCTATGCTAAGTGTTAGGCTCTGTTTCCCAGGATTAATTTGAGATACCTTCCACATTATAGAAACACAGTAATAAATTGCTTTGATTGTGGGGTGCCTGGGTGGCTCAGTCATTAAGCATCTGCCTTTGGCCCAGGTCATGGTCCCAGGGTCCTGGGATCGAGCCCCACATCGGGCTTCCTGCTCTGCAGGAAGCCTGCTTCTCCCTCTCCCACTCCTCCTGCTTGTGTTCCTGCTCTCGCTACCTCTCTCTGTGTCAAATAAATAAGTAAAATCTTTTTTAAAAAATTTGCTTTGATTGATAAATTTAAGAAAATCCCTGATGCGCCCAAAATACAGAAATATGTAATCACTTTTTGTTTTCAAAGTTGAAGAACTTTTTTTAAAGCCAAGAGATCGCCATATGTTATCTTTTCAGTTTCAACTTATGTTACTTTTTGTTGCATTCCACTTTGTTTCAAAAGTGATTTGAGGGGACCAAAATAGATTACTTATTGTTCTTCTGAAATATGTTCCAAGTATCTAATTGCAGTCAATTCACTTTCAGGTATTCCTCAATACTTTTATATACATAGTAAGTCTGCCTTCCTATGTATCTATTGATGATTCCTACATTGGGTGCATTACTGTAATTCTTAAAATATTCTGTTTTTAGAAATCTGGAATTTAAGGTGAATAATATATGGCAATCTT